CCACTCGTGTTCGCGAAACGTCAAGTGAAAATATTTTACGACGGCCTAACTATCCAAAAACCAACCAAATAACATTGGATGATGGCCGCGAAAGCCTTTCGAATTTCATGTAAGATTCCAGTTTTTTAGCCTAAACGTTTTAGATGCAACGGTTCTCATGCAATTCTAACAGCACACGGAACATTTTTTCTGTTAAGCTAACAGATGGATCAGATAGCCCGTTTATTCAGCTTCAATATCCTGTTTCTAAAATGTAGATTCTATCATTTGGCGCTGAGATTTCTGACTTTGAATGAAACAGGATCCTTTCATCATCGCCTACCGATACCTCGGTAATCACTGATGGCACAGAGAATGTAAGGGTATTTCCGAAAACTGGAACAAACCTCATTTACAATTTTATTGCAATCTTTGAGGATTTTTTTTTGTTTCCTCCGATTTTAAAAGAGTCAAAAAAGTAACTTTTTTGTTTTGTAAAATCGACCGCATTTTTGAAACTGCAAATGAGAAGGCTAATGTTTTTAGGGTTTTTATACCTCACTGTACAACTAATAACCCTGCACGACGGCAGATCGATCCATTTTACGGTTTCTCCAGACCGATTGGTGAAAGTTTGAAAATGTTGCAAATTCGGTGTTGGATCTTACTCATTTTGGTCGGACAGAACACTGAATATTTTCTGGTGGATGCGCCCCTGGTTAGTATTTTTGTTTTTTGGAATATCCCCGGAATAAAAGAATACAATTTTCCCAACTACTATTTTAAAAATTGAAGGTCAGATATTCAATAGTGACAACAAAAGAAGCAAAATGGTTTTTCCCTTCTCATTACCAGTTCCAAAAAGGCGGTCGCTTTTGCAAAACAAGGCAAAGGACTTTATTATACTAAGTGACATATAAATCCGAACACCCAGTTTAAATGGTTTTATTTTAATAAAATTTTGTATAAGTACTTAATGAAGCATAATAAGTAAATGATGAAAATTTCAAAATGATTGCACTGCTTTAAAGCCCTTTGACCTTTAATAATGTGTGGATGCACCCTGATGTGCTACGCATTCTCCAACGCGCCTAGGCATGCTTCTGATTAGGTGGTCAATGTCCTTCTGTGGTATCTCATTCCAGGCAACCACCAACTCCTCTCGAAGTGCTTCTAAAGTCTGAGGAGGACGTTGCAAATTGAGCAATCTCCTACCCATCATATCCCACACGTGCTCAATTGAGGATAAGTCGGGAGATCTTGGTGGCCATGGTAACAATGTGATATCATTATGTTAAAAGAAGTCTATTGTGACTCTTGCAACATGTGGTCGGGCATGATCTTGTTGGAAAGTTGGATCTGCCAGGGTGTCAAGATAGGGTAAAAGATGGGGTTCTAGAACTTCGTGGATATAACGCTGCGCGTTCATATTACCTCTGATGAAGATTAAAGGTGACCTGGAACCATAAGCTATAGCACCCCAAACCATAACTCCAACAGTGTGATGAACATGTCTTTCAACAAAAAACTGTGGATTCCTCCTTTCACCACGTCGCCTTCTAACCCTTACACCGACGTAATCGCCTTGAGTGGTGCAAACAACGGTCACTCTGGGATCAGGAATGTCTTTAGTGATGAGTCTCGATTTTGTTTAGGCATGCACGATGGTCGTGCCAGGGTTAGAAGGCGACGTGGTGAAAGGAGGAATCCACAGTTTTTTGTTGAAAGACATGTTCATCACACTGTTGGAGTTATGGTTTGGGGTGCTATAGCTTATGGTTCCAGGTCACCTTTAATCTTCATCAGAGGTAATATGAACGCGCAGCGTTATATCCACGAAGTTCTAGAACCCCATCTTTTACCCTATCTTGACACCCTGGCAGATCCAACTTTCCAACAAGATAATGCCCGACCACATGTTGCAAGAGTCACAATAGACTTCTTTCAACATAATGATGTCACATTGTTACCATGGCCACCAAGATCTCCCGACTTATCCCCAAGCACGTGTGGGATATGATGGGTAGGAGATTGCTCAATTTGCAACGTCCTCCTCAGACTCTAGAAGCATTTCGAGAGGAGTTGGTGTTTGCCTGGAATGAGATACCACAGAAGGACATTGACCACCTAATCAGAAGCATGCCTAGGCGCGTTGGAGAATGCGTAGCACATCAGGGTGCATCCACACATTATTAAAGGTCAAAGGGCTTTAAAGCAGTGCAATCATTTTGAAATTTTATCATTTACTTATTATGCTTCATTAATTACTTATAAAATTTTTTTATTAAAATAAAACCATTTAAACTGGGTGTTCGGATTTATATGTCACTTAGTATAAAATCACCAGGGAAGCAAAAAAATCCTCAAAGATTGCAATAAAATCTTACAGGGTGCTTATCCTAATTTTTAGAAATATCACATTCTCCGTGCGATCACTGGTTATCGAGATATCAGTGTTCGATGACAAAAGGATCATTTTTGATTAAAAGTCAGATATCTCCGCGCAAAATGATCTTATCGAGATTTTGGAAACAGCATATTGAAGCTGAATAAGCAAGCTATTTGATCCATGTTTTCAAACCCATAGACAAAAAAGAAGACACTTTCTCAAAAAAATCCTTGCGCTATCTGTTAGAATTGCATAAGAACTGTTGCTCCTAAAATTGTTCGGCAAAAAACCTAAAAAACAGAATCTTAGAGCTTCAAAATGATTTTTTAAGTCAAGATACGACCATTTTCACCGGAATACAACCTGCCAAAAATCACTGAAAAATTTGGATTTTTTTAATACTTCTTGAGTAGTGTAATTTGATTTGCTAATCAATCCTCCCATTTAATAATGCATTACCGTCAAACTGCGTAATGCCGCACTTTCTCCAATTGCGCCTACCTCCTGTTTTTTCAGCAGTTATATCGGCGCATGTAATCTTCGCGTGTTTCGCAAATTCAATTCATTATCACTAACGTGCTTATGATTATGCTGCATATGCTTCCATTTTTTATAGTCGCAAATGTCCATTACTGGATTAACGCGGAACTACGTATGCGTATGGTCTCACGATATATTTGTTTCTGGAACATAGAGCACAAAAAGGTAGTTGAGTAATTTTGCTTTTGTTTTTACAAGCTTTTATTTATGCTTAGTGACACAAGTAAAAACATCCAGTAATAGTTAATTTATTACTACAATTTTTGTATACATACATCTTAGGCTTAGGTGTTTGATCAAAATAAATCCAGCTGTAGTCGGGCACTGTATTTTAATAATGTCAGTAATAAATACACTTTACTATACTACAACTATTTAAAACTGTAATGACTCATACGCGTGATCAACACGTGATCAGATCTCGATTCCGACTTCCTTCCAGTACAGCCGTATAGCGTACGACATATGTCGTTTCTGTGGCTTTGCGGTGGTCAACAGCACAGACAGAGATGGAAATAATGGCTGATTGTTCTCCGCCGGTAGAACCAATGAAATCAAAGACGCGCCTCGACCGGCAGACTCATAGGCGTCGGCAACGCATTGGAACGTGTTTCGTTGAGCGATCGCATATTGTGTGTTTTTATAAGAATTGTTGTGTGATTGTTATTGTTGTGGTTTCTGTGGTTACTGTTTTGGTTATACTTAACCATGGAGAGTACAAATGGCACGAGTGGAAGTACTGAAAGCCAGGGAACAAGTAGACGGCTTCGTAAAGCACTAAAGAGGGACGCGAAAGAAATCGTGCTCAACGTGTTCAATTATCTGAACAGAACTATGTCGCAGGGAGATGCACTCGCGCGTTGTGAAAGTATGACCGGCGTTCCAGAGTGGACCATTCGCAGGGTTTTGCATGAAAAGAAGAAAACTGGAGCTACTACTGATCCAAAGTTTAATTTGAAGGGACGAAAGGCCGTTAAATTGGATGACGATAGCAAAATGGCGTTAAGGCGAACCGTACATTCATTCTTCTTTAGGAATGAGATACCAACCCTCTAGGCTGTACATGCAGCGATCAAGGAAAATGAAATTATACCCCAAATGAGCGTCGAGGTAATGAGGAAATCCCTGCACGAAATTAATTGAATAAAGGTAATTCCCAAATTTTTGACTTACAATATGTTTCAAACCACTCTTTATTAAGCATGTGACAAATCTAGTTCACCCATGTTAAACATGCATACCCCGCCTATGAACAGCCGACTACTGGTAGTTAAGTGATGTTCACGTGAACATCGATGAGTCATTACAGTTTTAGATAGTTATAGTATAAACGATTAAGCACAATAAACTTTATTGACCACCATAAGCCTGTTGATCAGAGCTTACTTCCGTCTCTCTCTATCTCTCTCCTGTCTACTGTCAACGATCAAACGTCAGTGACCATGCCAGTGGCGACGCGTGACTTTTCCTAAACTGTTACTAAAACCAGATGTAAAAAATCTTATTAAAAAAAGTTTACTTTGAACCTCCCAAATATAATTTTTTGCTTATTTTAGGTGGTTTATTTAAACTATTTCTAAATTAAGGTAAACATTCCTGGACTGAGCGTCTGGGGCACTTGATATACCTCATCGTCTTATGCTATGACTAATCCAAGCCGTCCGAAAAAACAGTCGACGTTTTTAGATGTTCGGAAAATGTTTGATCTTTTTTGGTAATGAATCTTAACAATTTCCTGTAATTTCCTCTATTGTCAGTGTCATCCCTTTCAAAATGAACGGTAATTCCTGTTTTGCCAAAAAACATACGGTATCTTTATTGACCACCATAAGCCTGTTGACCAGAACTTACTTCCATCTCTCTCTATCTCTCTCCTGTCTACTGTCAACGACCAAACGTCAGTGACCATGCCAGTGGCGACGCGTGACTTTTCCTAAACTGTTACCAAAACCAGATGTAAAAATCTTATTAGAAAAAGTTTACTTTGAACCTCCCAAATATAATTTTTTGCTTATTTTAGGTGGTTTATTTAAACTATTTCTAAATTAAGGTAAACATTCCTGGACTGAGCGTCTGGGGCACTTGATATACCTCATCGTCTTATGCTATGACTAATCCAAGCCGTCCGAAAAAACAGTCGACGTTTTTAGATGTTTGGAAAATGTTTGATTTTTTTTGGTAATGAATCTTAACAATTTCCTGTAATTTCCTCTATTGTCAGTGTCATCCCCTTCAAAATGAACGGTAATTCCTGTTTTGCCAAAAAACATACGGTATCTTTATTGACCACCCTAATACCTCATCGTCTTATGCTATAACTAATCCAAGCCGTCCGAGGTTTCTAGAATTTCGGAAAATGTTTGATCTTTTTTGGTAATGAATCTTAACAATTTCCTGTAATTTCCTCTATTGTCAGAGTCATCCCCTTCAAAATGAACGGTAATTCCTGTTTTGCCAAAAAACATACGGTATCTAGAAGTGTGCTGCCTAAAAGCTTGGTTAAGACAACTTTCGATTCTTGTTTTGCCAAACTGAATTAAATTGGCTACACATCTCACATGTAACGGAGAAATTTCATCTCTCCTCTTTAGAGCCCTAAAACTATTTAAATCGTTGACTCCGCTGCATTTTGTTCTGTATAAAACAGAAGACATCGCCAACAATACATTCTGTTTTGTACAACCACAGTAACAAGAGTTTCTATATACCAATTTAATTTAAAATATCAGCGTTTTTTTATTCCATTCTAAAATAGGCGTTGGTCTTAAAATTTTCAATGATCTCCTTTTTTTCTTAAAAATTATACAAGGCGAATGACTTTTCAAGTAGTTGATCGATTACGCAGCGACACTCATCCATGTTTAATTGCACGCATACTACAGCCGGTAACCAAAATGGCTACTAACGAGTGAGAAGTGACTAACCAAATCAAAAAATGGTAACAAGCCCACATAATAGTCGCAGCGCCCCACGCACTCGGGCGACCGCGATCGGACACGAGCCGCTTCCGACGGTCCCCGACAGACTACCAAGTGTATCCATAAATGAAAATGGTATCAACCGACAACCAAGTCGAGGCAAGTCAGCTTCATCGTGTTCGCAAAACCTAGACACTATAGCGCGCATTATTTTCGTGTGGCTAATTTGCTATTTACTGAATTACTGTTACATATCGCTGTTGGTAAATAAATAAACGAAATTATCTCACAGTACCTAGTCATAAAATATTTATTTTCAAGATTTTTAACTGTTACCAATGGTAACAATGGTTACATCGACGCTTCGCCACTGGACCATGCCATCCGGCAAACACAAGCGCACGAATTTCAAAGTTGAAATTTTTATTACTACACAACGGTTGAAAAAAGTGTAAACAATCAATAATTTGTTGGCCATCCACGATCTCTTATAGACTGGGTGGGCTGGTGAGCGTCCGTATCACTGATCAACAGCCAAAAAATATCCTATATAAAATCAACAAAATATTACTATTTTTAATGTGCTAAAACCGGAATGAAACTTATTTTTTCAATATTAGTTCAAGTTTTAGAGATACGGTAATTATATGTGTTCCTGCTGTGACAGTGTTAATATACTGTAATTCACAAGAATGCACGTGCTACATTTTTATATTCGGCAAGGAAAGATGATGTAATCGGCAAGATTGTGTTACGTTATACATACGTGTACATTATATTGTTTTATATTAGCCATTTTTTCCTCAGTTGGCTGACAGCGTTCATGCAAGATGTCTCGAAAGTGTGTAAACAATCCAGATCAGTTTTGTTACGTGTGTGGTGATGTGACTTTTGCGTCTCAGAGACGGTCTATTACTCTACTAATAACAAAGGCATATCAGCTTTATTTCGGTTGTAAACTAGGTGATCAAGACAAACAGTGGGCACCCCACATCTGCTGTAATACATGTGCTTCAAGTCTGAGGAGCTGGTTAAATGGCAAAAAACGGTCTATGCGCTTTGCTGTCCCAATGGTTTGGAAAGTGCCTACAAATCATATTAATGATTGTTACTTTTGCATGGCACCTTGTGTTGGACAAGCCACAGGTATGTCCAAGAAAAAAAAAATCGGTTATTAACTACCCAAACATACCATCTGCGATGAGACCTGTGCCTCACAGTGACGAAAATCCTATTCCAAAACCCCCAGAATCCTACACTTGCGAATCAGAAAACGAATCAGATCATGGCGATCGAGTGATTCGTCAGGAAGAAGATATGCCATCAACGTCAAGAGATCCTGATTTTATACTGAGCTCGTCATGCCACCAACCGCACAAAATAACACAGTCAGAATTAAATGATCTTGTAAGAGATTTAGAACTTCCAAAATGTAAGGCAGAGTTACTTGGATCAAGACTGCAGCAGTGGAACTTGTTAGAAGACGATGTTTCGGTATGTGTTTTTCGTAAACGCCACAAAGACTTAGAACCATTTTTCAATATGGAGAATAACTTGGTTTTCCGCAGTAACATTAACGGCTTCCTGGCGGCTTTAAATATAAACTATAACCCAGAAGAATGGAGATTGTTTATAGACAGTTCAACATTGAGTTTAAAGGCAGTGTTATTGCATATTGGAAATATTTTACCATCTCTTCCTGTAGGGTATGCAGTTCACATGAAAGAATCATATGACAATATGAAGTACCTATTGACATGCATAAAATACGATGAGCACCAATGGCATATTTGTGGCGATTTGAAAGTTGTTGCACTTTTACTTGGGCTGCAGCTAGGCTACACAAAGTTTTGCTGTTTTTTGTGTGAATGGGACAGTCGGGCAAAGGCACTTCATTACACCAGACAAAACTGGCCTGTTCGTCAATTCCTAGAGCCAGGTCAAAAAAATGTACAGCATATGCCATTAGTAGATTCGAAAAAAAATTTATTACCACCACTGCATATCAAGTTGGGCCTAATGAAAAACTTTGTCAAGGCATTAGGTAGAGATGGGTCAGCTTTTCAATACCTGCGTCAGAAATTTCCAAGACTAAGTGAGGCAAAGGTTAAAGAAGGTATTTTTGTTGGGCCACAGATTCGAAATATTTTGAAAGATACACAGTTTTAAAACACTTTAACAGGTATTGAAAAAACTGCTTGGAATGATTTCCGTCTGGTGGTCACTAATTTCTTGGGAAATAGAAAAGCTGACAACTATAAAACCCTTGTCAAAAATATGCTGTCATCGTATCAAAAGACTGTAATATGTCTCTTAAGATACATTTCCTACACTCACACCTGGACTTTTTACCTGACAATTGCGGAGCCGTAAGTGATGAGCACGGCGAACGTTTTCATCAGGATATTTCAACAATGGAAAAAAGGTACCAGGGAAAGTGGAATCCTTCTATGCTTGCAGACTACTGTTGGACTCTTGGTAGAGATGCTCCAGAAACGATCCATAAAAGAACAGCAAAAAGACAGCGCATATAGTGATTCTTATAAGTATATGAATCTTGTTTTTTTCTAAACCGCAACTAATTTTTTTATTTCATTGTCATTTTTGGATTCAGCGCCCCAAAATTAACAAAGAAGTGCACTTTTCCCACAAGATACAATTGAAAAACTAAAATTTGTTGTCCAGTGAATTAAAAACATGTGGTTCCTCCACCTCGGCGGTCGTGTTGTCTCTGATGAACACCAAAAGTGACCTGCTTCTATAATAGCCCCCGATGCCATAATTCCAACAGTGTGCTGCCATGCGTTTCCATAGAAAATTGAGAATTTCGACTTTCACCTTCGCCTTATCGCCATTGCACATCCAATCAGAATTCGGATACATCACTAAAGACAATGCTATCCCTTTCGAGGTTGAGAATTTGAGGTCAGTCTGTTTGTCCGCGAAACAATTTGAATAAAATGAGTACAGAAAATGGATTACGTCGCTGCTCTAAAGATTGAAACTGAAACTGTATGATATGGACATCAAATGGAAGGGTTGGATGAGAGAAACGTCATTTGTAAATCCAATATGCTGGTCACTGTAAGATGGCGATTTATAATTTCCATATGTACCTGTATGATCTGGGTAACAAATGAAATGGCTTGATGAACGAAACAAAATAAGTAAAGCCACGTTATTCTGAATCCAATATGGCGGACGTCTAATGTGACAAAGGCAATGTTAGTATTATCACTGGTGTACAAAATTGACATGGACAAAACAAAGTGGTTATTATGTAAATCGTACCCAAAAAGCAGGAAATAGCATTCGATTTTTTCTATCACCCACGGTTTTCTTGAAATGAAGCATTTTATTTGCTGCTTATAAGTACTCGTAAAATATAAGGATATGTGTGTAAGAGGACTAATGAACACTCGAATAAACATTAATCTCAGAATGTTGTTGTCGATGTTTTACGGCGATATGTTGCTCCTGAAGTATCTCTTAACAATGTCCAGCAATAATCAGCAAGCAAATTGACACTCCATTTGCCTTGATACCGTTTTTCCTTAGCAGAAATGTCTTGGTGGAACCGTTCACTATGTTCATCACTTACCGCACCTAAATTTTTCGGAAAAAAATCGAGATGAGAACCCAAAAAGTGAATTTTCAGAGACATGTTACATCCCATTCCTTTATAAGCATTAATTAGTTCACTTAGAATATCTTTATAATTGTCCGCCTTCACATTGCCTAAAAAATTTGCAGTAACTGATTTAAAAGCATTCCAAGCTCTTAATTCAGTTTCATTTAGAGAACTGTCAAATACATCATCTTTCATGATTTCCGTATTTGTGGACCCACAAATATACCCTCATTAATATTTTTGCCTCACAAGTTTCGGGAATGTTTGTTTTAAATGCAGAAACCCTCTTCAGCTTTCACAAAATTTTTCATCAGTTTCAACTTAATTTGCAAAGGTGGAAGGAACACGTTTTTGGGATCAACTAGTGGTTCATGAGTAATGTTTTTGAGGCCCGGAGTTAATACCTGATGTAGTGGCCACTTCTTCTGTTCATAATGACGATCTCGCGCACGACTGTCCCATTCACAAAGAAAATAACAATATTTGGTATATCCCAGTTGCATTCCAAGAAGAAGGGCTATTACCTTTAAATCTGCACATATGGCCCATCCATATTCATTATAACGGATATACTCTAAGGGCACGTTTACATCGAGCGCGCTTCGCTTGGAGCTGTGCGCCTCACTTCATGTCAAGCGAACCTCTATGCGTTCGGGTTCATTCATATCGGAGGCGCTTCGCTTTTCATACCTCGACTGTTATTAAAACACACTTTATATTTAAAGACGCATTTTCCAAGCATTTCACCATGGCTCCTTCACGAGTTAAGAAGATATTACTACTCGAAAGTATTGCGTTGAAAGTGAATAGAAAAAAACTAAAACGATCGTGGGTGCATGAGATTAATATATGTAGGAAATCGTTCGGAGAATTCTATCACCTCTATCGAGATGCCAGAAAATATCCAGAAAAATTTTATGAATACTTGAGGATGTCAAAGGAATCTTTCGACCTTCTCCTAAGCCATTTGGATCCTTATTTATGTGGGATTGGAACCAATTTCCGTGAAAGGATTTCAGCAGAACAACGTTTGGTTATAACATTGAGGTAAGCCAAAATAAAATTATAGTGTTTATGAAAAACTGAGTTTTATTTTATTAAAAAATACATTTGTCCGAATAAAAATGTTACGCGTTATATCCTGAAAAAAAACTTCGCATAGGGGTGTCCAATTCACTACCTTCAGATACATTGTGTGTGGTCGGATCCGGATGTGTTGACTGTATCGGTATGTGATGATGGTATGTATGATTGTCCGAAGCGGAACTTGAGGGAGCGGGGAAGGTAAAGACACGTGCCGGAGGTTGTCCACAAACATTTTGTGAAACTTCACTTTCATGCTCCTCAACTTGCTGAAGAAGCAGTTCCTGAAACTTTAATCTTAGACGTAATCTTCTTGAAGCAGGAAGACTCTTCATGTATGGCAAAAGACTCTTTAGGAACAAAAGATCATCATCATTTTCTTTAAGTGATTCAGACTCTAGGAGCTCAAGTTTCCGTTTTTCTAACATTATTAGTTCGCTATTGTCGTTTTCTGTTGCCAGTTGCTTCTTTCGCTTCTGCGCCCCCTTCCGAGTTTCAGAAGTAGAAGATAATCGGCTTGCAGACCTTGAAGGTGCTTGACTGCTGGTCGATGGCGGTGACAAAACATTGTCAGAATCTTGCGACTCTACGTCCTGTATATCATTATATTCTAAGTCAATATCTTCTGTGACCCTTTCCGCTTCTATATTTGCATCCCTCAGTGGGGTTTGCAGATGGTCTTTTAAAAATAACAAAAGAGAATAATATTGCCAAGGACTTGCTACAGCTTCATTTGCTCCACTGCCTGATCTGGGTTTTTCTAACTTTTTTGTTTCTCTGTTAAAGTAGTCCCTCAAGTATTTCCATTTATTTTTAACAGTTTGAACTGAAACAAAAATTGCTATTAACACCAAGCATATTTTATGTATGTTTGTTGCAGATTTCTTGCTACTGGAGAATCCTATCGATCCCTAGCTCTACACTTCAGATTGGGGGTGGCAACAGTTTCAAATATTGTAAATCATACATGCATGGTAATATGGGATACCATGAAAAGTGATTACCTACCAAAACCTACACAAGCAACGTGGCACAATAAATCACAACAATATTGGACCAAATGGAATTTTCCAAATTGCATAGGCAGTATTGACGGCAAACATATTGAAGTTAAATGTCCCTCCAATACCGGATCTCTATACTATAATTATAAGCAATATTTTTCAATATTACTTCAAGCCCTAGTTGATGCTGACTGTAAATTAATTGCGGTTGATATTGGGAGTTTTGGACGCCAAAGCGATGGAGGAAATTTTAGGTCCTCGTCGCTTTTTCGAGCATTAGACAGAAAAGAGCTTGACGTCCCACCTGATCAATGCTTACCACAAACAAATATAAAAGCCCCATTGGTTATAGTAGGCGATGAAGCTTACCCTCTGCTTCCATACCTAATGAGGCCATATCCTAGAAGAAATTTAGATAATTCAAAAGAATTTTTAATTATCGTCTCTCCAGAGCCCGGCGATGTGCTGAATGCGCATTTGGCATAATGAGTGGCAAATGGCGAATTTTACTAAAACCTATCGAAACAAAAATTGAGACAGCTATAAATATTGTAAAGGCCATTTGTATTTTGCACAATTTTGTTATAGAACAGGAGGGATTTAAGACAAATAAGGAATGTCAGACGGGCTTTAGCGGCGATATTAATCCGAGTACCTACACACACTCCCAGTATCGCTTTTCCGAAGATGCAAAGAGAACCAGAGAAATATTAACAAATTATTTTGTGACTACTGGTGCAGTTGAGTGGCAGAATCAATTTTCTTTCGTACAATAAATGTATTATATAGTATTATCTTTGAGTTTCTATTCCCTAATTATTTTGTTCTTTAACTACTCTGCCTTAAAAATTAAAACTGCTACTACCTCATACACACGATGGTTTATACAGATGACGTATCGCAAACCACTTATACATAGAATAAAAACACGAATACGCCCCTATACATGGAAACCAAAACCGATGCAAAAATACGGACAACAAAAAGAAGACATCGACACATTCTAAAAGTTGATATATTATATCCATCCCTAGTTAAAACATAATATGAACTCACCATCTTTTCCAACTTCGTCTCCTATTTCTTTCCACATTTTTTGTAACGCGTATACATTTTTATGCAACGCATGCTTCGGATTCCATATTGCCTCTCGTTTAAAAACGGCGGTGATAATTTCTTCTTCCATTGTGTTTATGCAGATAACCCTCGGAGTTGTCTGAACAAGCGAGGCAAAACGCAACGCAAAACCAACACATCGCGTTTTCCACCGCTCCGCATAGTATAACGTAAGGCACAGCGCGTAGCGCCATGCGCGCGGTCTGAACACATTCATTTAAAGCTGTGTTGTCGTTCCTCTCGCTTCCTACTGGGCTGTAAAGCAAAGCGCACAGCTCCAAGCGAAGCGCGTTTGATGTAAACGTGCACTAACAGAACTCGCATATTTTCATATGATTCCTTGTTATGAACTGCGTGCGCTATAGGTACAGATGGATATTTATTACCGCTGTGTAACAATACCGCTTTTAAACTAAGCTTAGAGAAATCAGTGAACAGGCGCCAATCATTTGGATCATGTTTCTGTCCTAACGCGTCAAACAAATTGTTGATATCGGAGCAATATATCAACTCCCTTTCTTGACGGAAACCGTGTGTGAGGTCTTGTTGCCGTTTTCGGTAAAAAATAATGTTAATATCACCGTGGAGAAGATTCCATCCTTTTAATCTTGACGCTAAAAGTTTTGACTGGGATTTTGACAGATTTAATTCTCGAACTAAGTCATTAAGTTCGCCCCGTGTGATCAAATGCGGCGCTGTTGAACATTCTAACAGGTCAAACGAAAGATCGGAAATGTTTACGCTTTCTGTACCATCACTTTCAGAATCGGTGGATGCGACTTTTTCAACCAAAGACCAAGATTCTGGTGGAACTGGCACAGAAAGTTCACTATGCTTAACGGGCCGCAAAGCTGATGGTAATTTAAAATACTTAACAGTATGTTTCGATTATGGTCTAATACCTTTAATATTTGTGAGGCAAAAATAGCAATCAGTAGTATGGTCTCTTGGTTCTCTCCAAACCATTGGTACCGCAAAGGGCATTTTACGAGTGTTAACCAACCTGTTAACATCGTTACACAAGTCTTACAACATATACGAGGTCCTAGAGTTTATCTTGGTCGCCAACTTTAATACCAAAATAAAGTTCGTATACTTTCAACATAAGGGGCGTAAAAGTACGTTTTTGGGATTTAAAAGTTAGCTCTCCGCACACATAACAAAAACTGTTCGCACTATTGGCACAATTTCTAGGCATTGTCTATAAAGCTAGTCTCGATCACAATAAACTAAAAACAACACACCGTTTTAACAAAAATTAATAGTACTCAGAATATCTCAATACTCTTCAACACAGAAAACGTCACTGACTCGGCTGCTATTAGTCTACTAATAAACGCAATATGCTCTCTAAACATAGAGCTCGCATATAATAAACAAGAATAGACAGGTCTTAACATTATATATGTGCGTTATCGCATAAACGCCGAGAAATGCAGCAAAATGAGATGTTATGTATTGTAATTCATAAAAGTATGTTAGATGTTACCGAATATTTGTGGGTTATAGAAAAATTCTGTTTTTAGATTTGGGTCTCAAAATACATAAGATACACCCAAAAATTGTCATGTCACAAATCCTGTGTTCATCAGTGTATTACAATAAAGTGGTCATGGGGTCTAATAAAATGACGCCCATCGAGTTGGAACTTGTTTAATTTGTCTTCAAGTAATTAGGTCCTAGGCTTCAACGTGTTTGTCGAATGTCATCATCAGACTTTTTTTGTTGATTTTCTGGCATTTGGGGTCCGTTATTAATCCACGGCGCTGAGCACGTGGCCCTTTTGCCCATATTGTAAATACGGAATAACTTACAAATTCCAAATTGGGTCCTTTGATCATGAAATAATTTTACCGTTGAATACAGGAATAATATGGTATCTCTAAGAAAAAACCGCTACAAAAAATACCGAGCATACGAATTCTGACATCAATGCAGAGGTAACTAAAAATAATTACATAATAACCACTGAAATTTTCATACGCAAGTTCAGATGAACCACGATCAATAACGAGAGTAATTTATGTACTGTACAACGTAGACCTGTTCTACTAGTTGGAGATAAGAATACATTATATATGTTATGTACAAACATATTTTGTAGAAAAGCTCAGAGTACAGTTAATCCTAGGAATGGAAAGTCAATTCGTAGAATGTCTTACGATTTCCACTTGGAACCTCGGTAATTCTACGCACGTATTAGATGTATTTCACGCATCATAGATTTCCCCGTACATTTGACCTTAAAAAAAGGAACATTTTCAGCAGACGGACGGCGTACCTATCGGTCGCACTTGCCGTGCACCATGGGATTGTAAATATTGCATTTTTGGTAGTGGATCCGAGGGACTCACAAAAGCAGGTAGCAGTCGGCGCGGTGATGGATATGCGCATTCGAGGTTATTTGATTTCGTGAGATATTATATAGTATATATAGTATATAAGTACGTAACAAGAGCTATTATTAGGGATTCATCAGATCAAGTTGCTTGATAGTTTCATAAATTAGTTCACTTGAACATAAAATTACTTGAAACTTTAATGCTTGACTTGATTTTTTTATTGTTCCACTTTACGTGAGGCGTGGGAGTCAATCTACATGACACCATTTTTGTATGGGAACAATACGCTAGTGCATGTTTGAATTTCATTCACCCTCATAATCAAATGCCAGTTGAGTGATACCGAATGAGAAAACAGAAATACCAATAATCAAAAAGACGGATAAGGCACCATAACAGGGCGCGAAAAATTTATTAAACATATATCATTCGCACGACATCTGAAGGACGGCGTAAATTGGAACTAGGAAGAGGCAGAGTGATCGACTCTTAAGGCCAAAACCTGCCTAGATAACCATGTCAATCAAATACACCGACATTTTGAGGTTAGAAAAGATGCCTCTTTGGTTGCTAAACTAAATTGTGTAATTTTCCGCGTAGAGCCCTAAAGGTTAAACAGCTGTGATAACTTACAGGTTCTGAGAATAAGTCGTTTTCATAACGCGGAGAGGACCCGCGAAAAGTGTGATCTATAACTTAACGAAAATATACTAAGTGACATATAAATCCGAACACCCACTTTAAATGGTTTTATTTTAATAAAAGTTGGTGAATGTATTTATCTTACTGTAAATAACAAGTGAAAAAATTTTCAGCCTTATCAGTTGGACATTCCGGTTTTTATACTGCTTTTTTTTAATTCACTAACGCTCTAAAAATGAATATTTCAGCCGCAGTAAAGAATCAACATTGGCGGATTTTGGTTCTTGACATCCTTTACGATCGGTTACGATGCCTAGAGTACGGAGACCTGTACGATTTCGTCAACTTAGTGAGTTTGATAGGGGCCGTATAGTGGGACTTCGGGAAGCTGGACTTTCTTTTCGGGCAATTGCAGTTAGAGTGCAAAGAAGTGTAGACACTGTGGTTAGGTGTTGTCAGGCATGGCTTCGAGAAGGCCGTACGCAAAGAGCAAGGGGCACTGGACGCCGCCGTAGAACAACAGACCGTGAAGATCGCCGCCTAAGATTATTGGCCTTAAGGGACCGTTTCTCCACTACCAGGTCCATTGCAAATGAATGGTTTGCAGAACACGGAAGACCTATTGGCATGCGAAGTGTTTACCGACGAATGAGAAGTTTTGGCTTGTTTTCATACCGGCCACACCGGGTCCTCCCTTTAACTCGAGAACACCAACGTAATCGCCTTGAGTGGTGCAGACAACGGTCACTCTGGGATCAGGAATGGAACAGTATTGTCTTTAGTGACGAGTCTCGATTTTGTTTAGGCATGCACGATGGTCGTGCCAGGGTTAGAAGGCGACGTGGTGAAAGGAGGAATCCACAGTTTTTTGTTGAAAGACCTGTTCATCACACTGTTGGAGTTATGGTTTGGGGTGCTATAGCTTATGGTTCCAGGTCACCTTTAATCTTCATCAGAGGTAACATGAACGCGCAGCGTTATATCCACGAAGTTCTAGAACCCCATCTTTTACCGTATCTTGACACCCTGGCAGATCCAACTTTCCAACAAGATAATGCCCGACCACATGTTGCAAGAGTCACAATAGACTTCTTTCAACATAATGATGTCACATTGTTACCATGGCCACCAAGATCTCCCGACTTATTCCCAATGGAGCACGTGTGGGATATGATGGGTAGGAGATTGCTCAATTTGCAACGTCCTCCTCAGACTCTAGAAGCACTTCGAGAGGAGTTGGTGGTTGCCTGGAATGAGATACCACAGGAGGACATTGCCCAGCTGATCAGAAGCATGCCTAGGCGCGTTGGAGAATGCGTAGCACATCAGGGTGCATCCACACATTATTAAAGGTCAAAGGGCTTTAAAGCAGTGCAATCATTTTGA